CATCGTAGACTGACATCAGTTGGAGGAACAAAGGAAACCTGGGAGCACTGGACAGCTGTTTCATCCACTGCTGAGGAGTCCCATACTAGGACGAAACAGCTGTCCAGTGCTCCCAGGTTTCCTTTGTTCCTCAACAGATGTCAGTCTACGATGAATAACAACTTGAAATAATTCCAAATCTCCACAACCCCTCAAAATATAAAGTCTTAGCTGCAACAAAAACGGAACTTGATAGGTTTTAGTGCAATTGACTTGAAATTGGTCATGACTTTAGGAATTCATTGAATTGTTTATCTTGAATCATTTAAGTAATATCTAGCAGATTCACTAGGAGTAGTCTTGATAACAGGAATTAGTGATTAGAGATTTTCAATACTTGGATGCGAAGTTTTCGACTCCGATGAATATATATTTGCTCTTTATCTCTCTGCCTTGCAGATTTTATTGAAAATTTATTCAATAGGACTGGTAAGCTACCATGATAAAAACTTTTCATATAAAAGGCATGAAGAGAAGTTCAACGGAACAGTAGATGTTGTTTACTGACAAATTACAAGGGTTATTGGTAACATTATTAACCCTTACAATGTCGTTCCCATTTATGAACAATCTTTTGTTCTACTTTTAGGTTCATACTGTTCTTGTTTCCGATATTTCTAACCAATATTGCATATTCTTTCTACCCAAAGAATTCTCAACAGTCAGTTGTTACTTATTTCGAAATCGGTACATATTCGACTCATATGTATTCTTCCTATAGGTAACTGTCACCACAAGTGATGTAATTACTGATGACCATAGAAAATATAAAAAGTGTGGGTTATGAATTCTTAGAAAATAAAATTTTTACTGTTGAGTAGTTTAAAAACGTAAATGTAATCTTCTTCCTGTTTTTCTATAAAATCTTATCGATTTATTTGCTATCGACTTCAAATCTACTCTACACTGTACACTCTTAAAATCAATGACTGTTAGTCACTCTGATAAGTTAGCGAAAGTTCACATGTCTATATTATGCAATAAACTGTTTTTTAGTTTAGCTTTTCTGTGTGTGTGCTAATCTCAATATATATATATATATATATATATATATATATATATATATATATATATATATATATATATATATATATATATGCTAATATTTGGACTCATGTGAATTAATATTGCTCATTTGTTTGTTTTACATCAGTTCATCTACACTTAACCTTGTAAATGATCACTTAGTGATGCACAAACTTGTACACAATACCTTAGCAGTTTTAAAGAACAATTTCGAAATACTATAACCTTTATTCAGTTTCATGGTGTAGTGTTTATTGTTATGATTTTTGCTTTAGTTTAGCTGATAGAAAATATAAGTAGCATTATACTTAGCTGTGGTGGCTATTAGTAGAGTTTAGGATGATTATTGTGTTTCATTCACAACTCATCAGCTTAGTACATCTGGATCACAGTAAGCACTGATATTTCTAATTAGCTTCGAAGCTAGTATTCAACACTTCAAACACCTAAGAGTTATCCATCAGGTTACTAAATTACAGTAGTCAGCTCTTGTTAAATGGGATGGCAGTTTTCTAGACTCAGGTTTTCATAGTCTCCATTTCTGTTTAATATGACTCAAATGGTCAAATTTTTGTTAGAGTATGGAATTCTTGTATAAACGTTTTAATAAACCAACTTGGTCTTTCTAGTGGGTGTCCATAAGATGATAATAGTTAGTGATTAGAGACTTTTGGTCAAAGGATTTCAAATTCAACTTAGTGATGCATCTTAGAAATCTCGAACACTTCGTTTATCCATCTTATCTTTACTCATAAGCTTCTGTGTCATTCTCTTCTATCAACTTTCAATTTATTCCCTAGTGTGAGTTCTGATAACTTGAAATGGTTGAGTTCTGTGTCTGGTTCTACTTTTAAATCATTTTTATGCTAACACTTCATCTTTACTAACATATGAATATGGGAGCTACGAAATTTTTACCTTCATTATTGTTGATTTTCAACTCCTATGTAATTTAAGCAGAATGTATGTAGGAACTTGAAATCCATGTTCGCGGAAGAGTCAGCGATCGACTATTTTTGTCTACAGGATCTTGCATTATTTTTCTGTAGGACTGATTAGTTTTACAGAAAGCTGTTTTGATCATCCAATGATGCTGGACTATAAACTGTTGAAGTATGGTTGTACTAAACGGTGGTCTGGGTTTAATTCATCAACTCTTAGCAACACTCACGTTAAAATTTTTGTATTAGCATAGGAAATTCCATATGTATAAAAAGTTATTCGAGTAATGAAAATACTAACAATTCGACTGTAAAATACATACATTAGAGCTAGTTTGCTTAAATCGTCTTTTTCCTTATGGTTTGATTTACAAGACAAAAAAGAGATGGCTCTCAGTCTTCTTTTGTTCTTATGTACGTTTTTTTCCAAAGGATAATAACTTTTTATGAATGTAATTTTAGGATTGTGTGACCACGCATTGGTATGTTTGTCTGACATAAATTTTTATGAAGGTGATTGGTGGTGAGATTACTAAGTAGTCATTTTCAAGCATAAATAGTCACTTAATTCTGGTGAACAAAAACAGTTGTAATAGCATAAGCTTGCGGTCTTCTATTGATAGGTGAATGAGGGGCTTTTAAGACCTACTGATTCCACAGTAATTGTCATCAGAGACTGACCTCATCATGAAGAGTCAAAATAAGATAAAACATCTCCCAGGTGCTCCCAGGTTTTCAGAGGTCCTCTGAAGGGTGTCATTTCTCTATTGAAGCTACTATGAGCCACTGGATTCCGACCCATTGGCTCAATGGTAACAAGCTGTCTGTGAAACCTGAAGGCCCTGAGTTCGAACCTTGATGTGGTCTTGGGTGCGCAGTGCTGAGGAGTTCCGTTCTGAAGCGAAACAGGTGTCTAGTACTCTCAGACTTCCAATGTTTCTCCAACTTATGTCAGTCCATGATGAATACCAATCTGAAATCAATAAAATGCCCACAAGCTTCCAAACTGTTTGACTTTCTAGGTTGGTCTATCAGTGCATCCACATTAGGTAGTTTATTTGATATGTGCATATAGCCCACAACGATACAGTATTATTTATTTGATGAAGTTTCGAGGGTAGATTATTACTCATAATTCTACCTATAATGGGTGATGATTGAAGGTGAAATGGAAATTTGGACCACGACCGGATTCAAACCAGTGACCACCGGGTTTCCGGCCTGATGCTCAACCAACTGGGCAACGAGGGTTAAGGTATTCGGGCAAAACCCTTGCTGACTGAAGTGAAATCAAAATCTGGTCAGCAGTCGGACCTTGTAGCTCAGTTGGTTGGGCATCGGGCCAGAACCCGGTGGTCGCTGATTGGAATCCTCCGCAGTCCAAATTTTCAGTTCACTTTCAATCACCAACTGGTATAAATACTAGTCTACCAAACTACGGCTATCTAAGATGGTCAAATGATAATCATATCAATGAGATTTGTCCATAATTAATCATTGATATAATTTTGAGCAATAATCTATTCTGGAAACGTCATCAAGTAAATAATATTGTATCACTGTATGTTATTTGCTGTATCAAATAAGCAAATCTAATATGGAATTGCATTCTACTACAGTGCCTAAGTTTTACAATTATATTAGTGAAACTTATGGTCTTCTTGTTGGAAGACTAGTAAATAAACTCACTCGACTTTCACAAACTGAAGTAAGTTTCATAAATCATCGTATTTTCAATATTCGTTGTATAAAGAATCAAATCATTCTTAAATATCTTCGTCTGCATATTCTAAAAGCTACTGACAAAATTAAAAGAGTAATTGAATATGTTAACAGATTTTGTATAAAAGAAGAAATCCATAGAATTATCAGGAAGTTGAGTTCCATCCGGAATAAAATTGAACAACTAAAATGTAAACTTGAGAAGATAATAAACAGCAAAGGTTATGAATCTCTAATATAAATATGAAATGAAGCTAGATTAGCTACTTTCAAGAAATGCAGAAACAGTCAAATTGAAAAGTTCAACAAATCAATACAAGAAAAATATCTCTTGGAAAATAGTTAGATTACATATGAAACATCATTAAATATCGGTAGAACAAAGTGGTTGACCAATCTCCCCTGAAGAGACTTAAGCTTGATTGAAACTAAAGTTCTTGAAAAATGGACGAAACTTGAGCTTGACAGTAAGTTGTCTAAAACCTGAAGATGTCATACCTAGCATAGAAGGGCATTAAGCTAGGTGGATGTGGCAACCATTGAACAGTTTATAGCATGGTGTGCATTTTGGACTGAATAAACAAAACAGGACACAACAGAACTAGTAGATTAAGCTCTGAATAATCTACAAGATGACAATATTATAGTAATTACCAAGTTTGATAAAGGTAATTCAATAGTAGTTGTAGACATATCACATTGAGCGATAATTTATGCTGGGAACGTTATCAAGTAAATAATACTGTATCACTCACTGTGTGCTGTTTATCAAATAAACAAAATCTAACATGGCATTACATTCTATTACATTGCCTATGTTTTAAACTTATACACACACTGTTTTGTGCATGGTTGAAGAAATACATAACATTTATTAAAAATATTTTTAGAATCGAGTATTTTACAGTCTGTTTTTCTAAACATTCAGGAATTAGATGTACGTGTTACAGATCAAGATGGAATTTTTCATTCCTTCTAATTGATGATCTTTACTTAATAATCTTAAGATTTCAAGTTGTTATTCATCGAAGACTGACATCAGTTGGAGGAACAAAGGAAACCTGGGAGCACTGGACAGCTGTTTCGTCCTAGTATGGACTCCTCAGCAGTGCGCACCCACGACCCCACCAGCAGGGATCGAATGATGTCAGTCTTCGATGAATAACAACTTGAAATATTTCCAAATCTCCACAACCCCTCAAAAAAAATCTTAAGATTGTTTTGTTCACATAAGAATTATATAACTATAATTGTTTTGCTTCATTTCAACAGGATTTCAAAGTTCTTCTTGGACATCATATTGCGACTGTATCATTACTAGCCTTTTCATATATTACTAATCATCATCGAATTGGTTCACTTATTCTTTTACTGCATGATATTGCAGATTGTTGGATGGAGGTGAGAATACTATTTAAATATAACTTAACTTTACTCTTTTTATGTATAATACATTATAAATCAATTTTAATGTACGATACACTTTAACCCAACTCACCAGTCGTGTATATATTTCGTTTCTTTGACAAATCTGAACAATACAAGAACAAAGATATTTAAAGGATAGAATGAGCCCATTTTATTTCACCGCTTTCATCAGCTGCAAACAGTCTACAATTAAAATGAAGTTTCGGTAGTAATAGTAACATAAGATACTTTAAATATGTGGAAATAAATGAAGACTTGAAATCCAGGATTAACAATAAGGTAGTAAGTCAAGGAAGCATAGATTAATCATCAGAAACCGTACTCAAAATAATGGCAGTTTATATCTGATGAAGCTGTGGAAAGGGATGGGCAACAAACGTACAGAAGTGTAAAAGAAAGGGTTGTTAAAGAAAAGCGTTAGGTTAAGTGATTAACAGTTAGTAAGTAATTAATGAAGAGATGATACAATCAAAAAGAAATATATATACATACATATACAAAGAATTATAAACAATACCAGGGTAAAGAAAGGTTGATTACAATCTCTTTCTTAGTACATAGACCAGGTTGAAAATGTTTCATAGTGACAACTTCCGCAAACCGGAGTAAACATAGCTTTCTTTGTTTGTTGATTATCCTCTTGGATTAAGAAACATTTACTTCAATTTGTGTCTCTACCAGGTGCCTGGTGATTGTACTGGTAAAGAACATGTTGGCTTTCAGATAAAGATTTCTCGGAATATGCTCATAAAATTGAGTAGACTTTCTTCTTTTGATCCTTCCTAAGTACCTGCTTCCACAAGCACTGGCTAACTAATTCATTACGACTAAGATTTGTCATTATTAATTCTGTGTTTCCTCGACTCTCTACCTTATTGTTAATCCTGAATTTCAAATCTTCATTTATTTCTGCATGTTTAAAGTATGTTATGTTATTATTACTACCAATACTTTGTGTCAATTGTTAACTGTTTACATCTGATGAAAGGCTACGTAAATAAAATGAGCTGGTTCTACCATGCAAAATATCTTGTAATGTTCAAATCGTATGTATGTTTATACAGTAGACTTTAAGCTACATGTATCATTTGAGACCTAGTGATAATATCTGACTTTGTTTAGTAATGAAGGGCAGTGGCTAGTAGTGGAATCCAGGATGCGCATTTCGTCCTATTTGGGTCTCGTCAGCTGGATGTACCTGCTTCCCAGTGAGTGATGTTGTTCCACTGCTAGCCACTGCTCATCATTACTAAACATAGTTAAAAGACAGGCCATATCGAGGCATCCGCATAGGAGCCCATATGCCAACAGAGGCTGATCAATTCGGTCCTATCAACGATGGTGTAGTACAAGCAATAACACTAATATCTGACTTTGCTTAAATTTTCATAGATGATGAATTGTTCAAACCTAGAACTCACCGATTCATTAGTTAATAACTCAGTTATCTACAACTTAAATAAAACTGTAACAAACTTTTCTCCACTCTCCTAGATTTGATGTGAAGATGATCTGTAGTAGAACTGTGAAATGAAGTGTTGTTTGAGGGTAGGATTTATAAGAAATACTTTTGATTCTTACCTCTAGTGTTGATAATTTAAACATCATGCTAGAAATGACAAAGTAAAACTAAACCATAAATTGAGAAAATTAAGTTAAATTAATCCGATATGTAACAGTTGTTTCTATGGTAATGATGATGTTTTGCTTCATATGTGATAAATTCAGGTAGTGGTTTCAATATTGTAGAAAGACTAGGTCATATGTTATACCAGTTCTTTAACTTTATTGCACACTGCCTGTATGAAATAGAATGGCAGATTTCTTCAATGAATAGACGAACGAGTATTACATTTGTTTCATATTCTTCTGTGTTGCACTGCTTATAACTGCTGATAATTGGATTATAAATGTAATTGGGATTGTGAGAATCTTGATTTCGGTTTAACGAGATTAGTAAATCATTACTTGTAGTTTTACTAAAATAAATGTGTATAGTGTAATCACTTTGTGACAAAAATACTCATCTTGATTATTATGCAGTAGTCATGTACTCAGTGAAGTGATGCAATCTTAGATCTGTATGTATACCCCTTACTTTGAGTTATCCAACACCATCAGTTGTATCATGCAGATAAACCAAAGAAGAACATGACACAAAAAAGTGTATCACAACCAATTGCCACGCTTCACAAAAACATACGAACAAACAGTGAATACAAAACAAGTGTTACAAAAGTATACAAAGGCATGTGAGGAGATGAAGAATAAGTGAAGTGAAGTGAAACAAAGTGTTTGGAAGGTTGTACATTCCATTGTACATTGTATCTTCTCCATTATGACTGGTCTCCAGACATATCACCATGAATCTACAACCACCGATTCTTATTGTTTCGAGTAATCCAAACAGACAGTTTACACCTCCCTTCATGACTCAGACCATTAGTCAGAGACTTCATCAACTAGTACTACCACTTCTCGGTCTGGAAACAATGAACTCCCTTCCACTCAAATCCCGTATAGACTGATATCGCATGTCAATGTAGGGAGGAGATGGTAACACATATGCATCCAAACTATCTTAGCTGGCGACGTCTTACAATTTCATCGACTGACTTGTAGTCTTTGCATACTACCCCTACCTCTACCTACCCCTACTATTCCAACCTCAAAGTTGCTCACATGGTGATTCCGCCACAACACACACACACATGTAAGCAATATTACGAATGCACTTATGATGTAAAACAATTAACTCTTTCATAGCATCTACCTTCAATCGTTATGTCTCACAGTTGTATAATAGGAGAGATCGGAGTGCTACACATTATACAAACCCTTTGATATTTAGTCGGATATCTCACTGACACTATGAATGATCAAATTGAGAAGATGCAGAATAAGTGAAATAAAATTTAAGTGGTGTTTGGAATTTTTCCCATTGCAAGGAGTGTTTGCATCTCTCTACATGACCCAGATCAATGCAGGTTTTCTTTATCAGCTGATTTGTCTTGTCAAAGGTTACATACCAGAATGCTTGTCTGCTGGATACATTTTGGTGAAAATTGTTTCTTGAGCATGCAAAGATTATTCAATGTATATTGCGATAGTTTACTAAAACATTTTTACTTCCTGTACAATTTACTTTGAACAAATAAGGAATTTTTAGATTTATGCAACACTTGTCCAAGCAAAGCTAAGAATTGTCTATTTTGAAGGTGTTAGCTTTTTATATTTTAAATTATGAATAGGTGGTGTTTTGTGTATCATATAGGCTACTTCTTATTGTGCAAACGTTAACGAATCCACGTTATTGAGGTATTTCAGTGTAAAGATCCTCTGTAGTCACTATGGACATAGGTTTCAAATCATGTTCATTATTTTAATGTGATTAGTGATTTTTTCCACTGTATTTATGCTCGTAGATAAAAGTTATTTAGTAGTTATTTCTTAATTGTGTGAGGATTGGATAATAGGTTCGAACTTATTTCACCTGCTTTGGATTGGGTGACTAACTCTTACCATAGACATTCACACACACAATGTAGGTGGTAGTTCATAGTATACATACTTGTATGTGGTTATTAAGTTTCTGCACTGAAAAGACAAGGATAGCTGAAAAAGAAATTTTCGAAACTTTTGTAATAGAATATCTTATATGTTAGGATAGTTTGCCTATCAAATTATTACTTCTTTATATTGTTTCGAAACGCTGAATAACTTCAATGTCATTTTTTGTTAACTTTCTAAACATTAATTACTTAGACTGTAAATAGAAAGAAACCCAAAGCAATATTCTAATATTTATACTGGCTGATGATTAAGAGGAAAATGACACTTTAGAGCACGACCAGATTCGAACCAGTGGCCACTGAGTTTCCAGCCCAATGCTCATCACTCAGTAGGTAGAGCATCAGGCTGGAAACCCGGTGGTCTATGGTTCGAATTCGGTCACGGTCAAAAGTGTCATTTCACCTTTAATCATCAGCCAGTATAAATATTAGTCTGCCAAACTACGGCTTATTTCAAATAGTCAAATGATAAGCAATATTCTGAATAAACATTTATTTTTAAACTGATAATTTTTATCATTTTCAATTTTTTTGAACTACTAGAGTATTTTTGTTGTTGAAAAAAGTTCTTAAAAATCATTTAGATAGAAGGAAGAGGAATAAAAAGAGAGTTAGTTATTAGAATTCCAATAGATTTTCATGACGAATTAATGAATAGTAATTGTTTAGTGGATTTTAGAGAGTTTTGATTCAAATATTTTAGTGGAAACTTGCTTACCATGAAAATATAGATTGTAATTGGTTCAATTGTATAAACAGACTGATTGAGACAAGAAATAGAATCAGATAAATGCAATCAAATATCATAAGAGAGAAATGCTACATTTTATAACAAAATTAATTCAGAAAGGTGGATATTTCCATCTGATTGACTGATATTCTGTGGGGATTTATTTTAATTTATAATCTGATTATAGATTATAATTTGGCAAACTCATAGAATTAATCATCTAATATAACAGGCTGCGAACCCGACAGTTGGAGTAATTAACGAAAAATTATTTCCATATTTTCGTCATGTTTAATATCTGTTCCATAAGTTATAGAATAAACAATCAGAAGAATTTTGAGATGTTTTTCATATCTTACCCCTTAGGTTTATTTGTTTCAGATGTTTCTACACACCTTAATATACATATGATGTCAACTAAGTTCCTCCGTAAAGTGATGAGATTGCCTGCAACCAACATCTATCAAAGTATATCGTGATGCTGTGTTTTCTAGCCTGGTAGCTACATTACAAAAAGAATTTGGTAAGCATTCAGGACTAGACAACATGAAATTGATTGCTGCTCAGTGACCAATCAATTCAGTCTTACAGAAGGTCAATGATGGCCGAAATGGCTTATTAGTAGCATCGCTGATTAGAACAGTGGGTGAGGCGGATTTGCATCTCATCAGAAAAATCAGTTCCCTAGATGCTGTAGATACACCATACTAACCAGTGCCGACTAACCCGAAAGCTACGCCAGACAGGGTTTTCAGCCGATAACCTCTAACCAGCTAACAACTTAGTTTTTATTAAAGAAATAGACAACATTGGAGGGCATTTAATAGAACGGCTGACATAATAATGAACCAACTTAAGGATTGATGTAAAGAATAAATATATCAATCAGATTTTTTTCCACTTAGTTATTTGTTACTTAAGTTCATGAGTGAAGTAAAGCAAAAAAAAACCTTCAGTTTTGTTAGTGGAATAATGCAGTGTTCAATGGTTCCGTGATCTTTTGACTAAATAAATGTATGATTTTCTAAATAAAATCATACATACAGATGGTTTTTAGATGATGTTATACGGTACTGAAAACTTATGCTTAATCAGTGTATGAAAGGTTGATTGATACATACACAAACCATTCAATTAACTGTCTCTTCATAATCAAACTGAATATTATTTCCTACTGATATGAGTGTGTAGGTACAACAAATCATGTAATGTAAAGCATACATTCAGTATGGAATTTGTATAACAATTGAAATTGGTGGTTAGAGACTGTAAGTAATATGACTCAATATCAATTTTATTGATGTGCATGCATCCATACATTATTTCCACACCAATTATCATATCTTTTTGTTTTTACATTATTTACCTTAACTACTCATTTTCGTCTTCTTCTTCATCTCCTATAACTTCCTATTACTTTTGATTATATGTTTCCAGTTTTTGTGTATTTCATTTTTAGTGTCCTTGTATCTTAATCACCTGATGAAAGTTTGTGTTACAGTTTCAAGTGTTATACAGTATTATCAGGTTCCATGTTGATATTAACTAACTGGTTGACTTAATGATTTGAAAATGTAAAGGTATATAAAAACGGTTGATTTTCTGTTGCATTTTGAAAATTTCGATGGGTATATTATGTATATATATAATGCAATCAACCTAACATTTTGATATAGTTTATTAAAATGAACAAATTTTATTTTTATCCTTATAGGCAGCTAAAATATGCAAATATGTTAAAAAGCATACAGCTTCAGAGGTATTATTCATTATTTTTGTAATCATTTGGATTCTGACAAGATTAACTTACTTTCCATTCTGGTAAGTGTTCAATTTACATTGAAGATGTAGTAATTCTCTGCTTCACTTTAATATTATGATGTAATATAATATATATTGTATATATATATATATATATATATATATATATATATATATATATATATATATATATATATATAATATATGGTATAATATGATGTCATTCAGAAAGACGATGAAAGCTTCACGATTCAACAACTCAGCTCAGAGAACACAATACAACCAAGATTATTTAGTTTTAAATAAATACAAGAACCTATTTTCAAAAGCATTATATGCAATCATTGGAAGTGAATGCCAAAATTATTGTGCTCTATCACCGTATATTTTTTGATTACAATCATTGTGTTAAATTATTAAAGTTGTAGTTTAACGGTTTATAAACACTGATAGATAGTTTCAATTCCACTAAAACTATTTTACTTTTCAGCATCAGGTCGGTATAATTGATATAGCTGACAGCTAAATAAATCAGTAAATATTTACGCTGTAACTGAGTAATTTTGATACTCTTGTTATTTCTACACTCTTACAAACAACTTGATTACATCAACTTGAACATTTTCTCTTTTTAGTTCTTGCTGTGGCAGAGAACTCAAAAGTTACTTATTAGACTAAGAAAATTACTTTTTAAATACAAGTCATTCTATCGTCCCGTTAAATGAAGACACTGACAAAATGCACAGTCTTCTAAACTTCTTGAACAGAAAGCTGAGCACTTTTGACACGCCTTTTCCCCTTATGAAATGTGACGTGATACTTCAGGACTAATGTATGCGCCTACTCCTGGTTTAGAGATAGGGGGTGAAGTGTTAGGATGTATTTATCGCTTAAGTTACTTGGATAGTTGCATCAGTCCGAATGGGTTAGTTACAAGAGAAATCTCAGTTTGGTCATTCATAGTGTCAGCGAGATATCCGACTAAATATCAAAGGGTTTGTATAATGTGCAGCATCCCGATCTCTCCTATTATACAACTGTGAGACATAACGATTGAAGGTAGATGCTATGGAAGAGTTGTATTGTTTTACATCATAAGTGCATTCGTAATATTGCTTACATGTTGTGTGTGTATGTGTGTGTGTGTGTGTCGGAATCACCATGTGAGCAACTTTGAGGTTGGAATAGTAGGGTAGGTAGAGGTAGGGGTAGTATGCAAAGACTACAAGTCAGTCGATGAAATTGTAAGACATTGCCAGCTAAGATAGCTTGGATGCATATGTGTTACCATCTCCTCCCTACATTGACATGCGATATCAGTCTATACGGGATTTGAGTGGAAGGGAGTTCATTGTTTCCAGACCGAGAAGTGGTAGTACTAGTGATGAAGTCTCTGACTAATGGTCTGAGTCATGAAGGGAGGTGTAGACTGTCTGTTTGGATTACTTGAAACAATAAGAATCGGTGGTTGTAGATTCATGGTGATATGTCTGGAGACCAGTCGTAATGGAGAAGATGCAATGTACAATGGAATGTACAACCTTCCAAACACCTTGTTTCACTTTCACTTCACTTATTCTTCATCTCCTCACATGCCTTTGTATACTTTTGTAACACTTGTTTTGTATTCACCGTTTGTTCGTATGTTTTTGTGAAGCGTGGCAATGGTTGTGATACACTTTTTTGTGTCATGTTCTTCTTTGGTTTATCTGTCTTTTTGACAGTGATAAACAGTCGGTAGGAAATTCATGAAACTATGCATAAGAGGGAGTTTATGACATGAAGTATTTTTTCCCAGGTCCGCCTTCAATTTATTCAGTGAACGGTGATATTTTTGCGTAAATTGTTTTGGTTGTATGGTTGCATTTTATCATAATTTTGTTGTTAACCTTACTATTACTTTCGGATGGCTTGTAAATGTTCCACAATTTGATTGATCACTGAAATCATTATCGATTTCTTTGCCCTTACTAATACAGATGAATTGATATTAATTTGGATATATAAGCTTTATCAGATTCAAATTTGTAATTTGAGGATAAAGAGCTGTCAGCACACGTTAATTCGTTTTCTAGTCAATTTCTGTGCTTCTCCGGTCTTTTATCGAGCGGGTCAATTGATGACGCAGATACCACTTTTTCTGGTAGTCGATCCCAAGAAGTGATTACTGGACATGAAATCAAGTACTAATCAGAGATGGCTTGTGTTTTTTGGTTTGGATTCTTCTGCTATGTCCTGTGAGGTGTTATGACTTGGTGGGAAGGAAGAGAAGATAGATCAGGTTCAAAGTCACTTATTAAAATCTTGTGCAGCATGATTTAATTTCCGTTCTACTTGCTATACGATAAAGGTGGTAAGCATATTCCTACTTACCTTAGTAGAAGTTCTGCATAACGCTGAAAGCTTCTCAAAATACCCAGCTGTAACTCATTGATCGTGCACTGTAGTTTTCAAAACGTGACTCACCGGGACTCTTAGGTCATTTTTCGGTTGATATTGAACGTAGAATTCCACAAATGTCTTAAGTGTTGCCATATGCATTCCCTATGCGCACGTTCACATACTTATCTGCTTTGTTAGATATCAGCCATTTCTCTAATTAGGTCAACAAACAGTTTACGTCATGTGAAGTGTTCGTACATCATCATTTCTTCTCGTCGTAGTTTTACGTCCTAAGGGTAGAGAACTATTGAGGGTTTCATAATAATCAGTAATTTCAAGTTGTTATTCATCGAAGGCTGACATCAGTTGGAGGAACAAAGGAAACCTGGGAGCACTGGACAGCTGTTTCGTCCTAGTATGGGACTCCTCAGCAGTGCGCACCCACGACCCCACCAGCAGGGATCGAACCCGCGACCTTCAGGTTCCGCGACCAGCGCGTTACCATTGAGCCACTGGGTCAGAATCCAATGCTCCATATTTCCAACTTCTGTTAGCTCACGATATCAGCCTTCGATGAATAACAACTTGAAATATTTCCAAATCTCCACAACCCCCTCAAAATTTAATTGAACTAGTGCTCGTTGGTGACTAGCTTCGAGAAGTATTCCCGAAGTTCCAATGACAAGTCGTGACCGGTGGAGTCAAGCCTGATGGCCGTGAGGACAAATACTCAACGATGACATTGGGTGGCGGTTTGCGCTATATCGTGAGCTAACAGAAGTTGGAAATATGGAGCATTGGATTCTGACCCAGTGGCTCAATGGTAACGCGCTGGTCGCGGAACCTGAAGGTCGCGGGTTCGATCCCTGCTGGTGGGGTCGTGGGTGCGCACTGCTGAGGAGTCCCATACTAGGACGAAACAGCTGTCCAGTGCTCCCAGGTTTCCTTTGTTCCTCCAACTGATGTCAGCCTTCGATGAATAACAACTTGAAATATTTCCAAATCTCCACAACCCCTCAAAATTTAATCAGTAATTTATTTATGCACAAGAAAAATAGCAAAGAATCAAGGACTTTGCGTTGTGGCACACTACTCCGTATCGATTTCCAGCAGGAGAGTTGTGAATTGGTTCTTACTCTTTGCCTGTTATCAATGAGGAACTCTTTAATCCATTCAGTTAGATATTCAGTGGTTCCGAAACTTTCCAGTTCCATGAGCAGCCTAGATTAAGGTACCTTATTGAACGTCTCACTGAAGTCGATAAAGTGACACCTACACGTGTCCTACCATCCTTCTTTAAATTTGTGGGGGTTTGTCAGGCAAGAAAACGTTTAACGATGACCAAGTTACGAACGTGATAATAAAGTGTTGCGTTCTAGTCTAGGTGGACAGAAACGGGTTTGTTGATTACTCTTTCTAGGATTTTCAATAAAGTACTAGTCAAACCTATGGGTGTGTAATTTGATGGGTGCTGCCTAGAACTTCCTTTGTGGATAGGTGTGACTGTGCCATCCTTCCGGTTATATGTATGTCTTTACCGAAAGAAAGTCTGAATATTTTAGCCACTAGGTCAACTACGTGGGGTGAGAGGTTTATGAGCAGCCTTGGCTGCAGCTCATCCAATCCCATTGACTGTTCCATATACTGAGTATTTAGTGTTATAAGTAAATCATTGTAATCGATATCCCGAAAGTTCATTCTGTTGCATGCCGATGCTTCTGCCATTGAAGTCATACCTAGTGGAGATTCATAGGTAAAGATCTCAGCGAAATGTCCGGCCATAGTCTCTTATTATCTTTAATTACCATGTTAATTTCTATTTCTTAGATTGCGGTAGGAATACCACGGTGCGTTTTATTCCTATTGTTCGCATGGGAAAGATGTTTTCATTGTTCTACTACTGTCTAAGTGAGGTGCATTTCGAAATATATCGAGGATTGATGAATAGCGTCGATACATTTCTTTATAATGCTCTTTCACCTCGGGAGTACCTTTTCTTTCGTATTAGTAGATTTTTGATTTCACTATTCATCTACGGAAGATAGTCTTTCCATCCTTTCTGAACACACCATAGTGTGGATGGTTGAGTCACTTGAGCGTAAGGCTGTTAAATGATCACCATAGAGCTTCAACTCTGGCTTCTCGACTCAATTTCGAGTTTTCCGAAAATGCTGCCAAGTTACTAGATACTAGGTTTGCTTTCCACACCATAGATCTAGCTGGGGTTTCGACCTGGCGCAAGATGGATGCTGTGAACCTGAAAATGATCATAGTGTAACCACTTTTACTAAGGGAAGAGAAGTTCTAAGTGAGAAAATACTAAGTCAGGGACCGTTGGAGCATGCTGATGATCATATTGCATTGCTGTCCTGATGCACTTAATGAGAGCCAAGTAAATTGAGGTTTCTATTAAGTTATTGTCAAAAGAATTACTTGGTGCTTCTGTTGTTAGGCTGTTCTAGTTAACAGATGACGCGTTGTGAAGCCTTTTAAAACTGGGTATCTACATTTATCTGTCTAGAAAGTCAGCTTCTTCAGGAGAGGGTCTTCTGCCATGCATTCGCGGCCAAGATATACTACGACTGAATTAACATCTTGTTCTTAGTATTTCATTAGGCAGTGTAGCATTTCTCATATGTCTCTTTCGCATGTGACCGTCTCACTGGCTTTCACAGTCAAACTGTTCTTCATACAAAGAATGGCACCGCCACCTCTGCATGCTAATCGGTCACTTCAAAAAAGAAAGAGTCCTTGTGAATATACTTCACTATCACTGATCTCAGAAGACAGCCATAATTTTAAGCGAGTAATTACGTTGGGGCTTTTAAGCTTATTACAATACTTGGCTCACTCCGTATATTCACCAAAATACGTGCATTTGTGTGCAATGTGGCAAAACCGCTTAAGTGAGTCTATGTCTTATTCATTTGGGCTTCATTATCGTTTTTTTCTTAAGCAACGCTGCGCAAACCTCCACTACTTTTAGATCTTTCTGCTCTCTGCTACTGAACGGGATTTCAGTTCTAGCTCTGCTTCTCGTTGTTCCATTCGATCAGCAAGAGACAAAAATCATGCGTACAAGAACTCCAGTACTTTGAAGTTTATGTGCATTTCTTAGGATAAGTTCTCTCTCCTTTATAGCCTGCACATAACTCAAGGATAGGGATTGAACGAAATGAATAAGGTAACTGTTAGCTTTGTTATTTTATCTAGGCACCTTATCAAGTGATTTTAGTGTTGTAATAGAATATATCAGAAAGCTATGTGTACAGAGCACGAACGGTTCATAATTTGATTTGGTGACAGCTGATTGTAACTGTAAGAGTGAAGTTTTCGTATGGACTTAATTAAAGGTGACAATATTGAATATTGAGCAAACGCCAGTATAAAACTGATCTTTAGTCACTTCTTTTCTTATGTAGGGTTCTGATAAGTTTTGTGAAGTATGCATTGACGTCATTCGTCAAGTATTCTAAAACTGTTTTGATTAACTCTATATAAACTGAATTTGTTGTACTGAACATATATATATATATATATATATATATATATATATATATATATATATATATAGGACGTTTACATCACACTAATGTATAAGGTAGAAGGGGTTGAAGGCTTATTTCAGTTATTAAAATAAAATACCTTGTAGCTAGACTCAATATTACAGAGAAAACGAAACCTATGCTCCAAAACAAACCTCATCATTACATAGGTGATTACATCATATCCCGCTGTGTTTATTATTTTACGTATGTTTGAGGTGACACATACCTTGGGAGGCATAGTTGAACTATGGGGTCGAGAATCGTGAAGGATATCCGCAAATGGCTAGGAAAACAATTACGTTCGAGTAGTCCGATAAATACAGGAGGCATACAGATGTCATCTTCCATAGGTGAACACATTATAGAAGCAAGTCAGATGATTCCAAAGGAGCCTTTAAACCACTGTATAGAAGCAATCAAGACCATATACTTAGGCTATACGAAAGTTCGAATCCTCTTTGTGTATTCAAAAACAATTTGTCCTTAACTTAAAGCTACCTAGGTAATTTTAATGCCGGGGAAGGTGTGAAAATGTATTATTCCTTCTTATTATCCCGATATTTTCCAAATCTTGCGTTATCTTAATCTGTTTATCTCAGAGTGCCCTATTTTCATCCTGCATATAAAATGCCTTGACAAGCAAATGTATAACCAGATTGTTCTGAATGTATTGCTCGAATACATCAAATTTCTCAGATAAATTCCATCTTCTTCTTACATTATACAAATCCATCAAAGGGACTAATTTTTACACGATTGTATTTTAGATTCAGATAGGATTTTTGCCCTATTGAAGATTAGCATCAGGCCGGAAACCCGGTGGTTGCTGGTTCGAATCCGGCCATGTTTCAAATTGTTATTTCTCCTTCAGTCATCACCCAGTATAAATACAATAACAGTAGGGATAATAATGAAAAAAAACTGATTTTTTAAGTCGGGTTTTACAAATGAATTGTTTGGGCATGTTTGTGTTATTTTTAACTGCACCCAAACATGTTTTAAAATTCTTACATGCTTTTCATATCTTAAAGGGTGTTATGGGCAGTCCATAAATTTGGCACTCTTATACGTGGTGCATATCCAGCCCATTGTATTATGGTTGGATTTCTTTTGGTTCTACAAGCTTTACACATATATTGGTTTTACTTAATTGTCAAGATTGCAGTGCAGTTGAAATCACAGGGATGTGTAAGTTATTTATCTTCTTATAGTTGACCAGTTTAAATGATTTTATGTTCTGCTAACATTGTTTACCACTGTCCCATCTAATTGTTCTATATATTACTGTCTGTCCCAATGCCTAAGAAAGGGAAAAAGCCTTTGTTTGATATTTCACACGAAAATTTAGTAGAACAGATTTAGTTTCTAATGGGCTGGAGTATTTTTATTCAACTAGAATACAACGGCAAATATGAAGACTGCATATAGAATACAGTCTTACTCAAAGTGCATCATTTCAATTTGTGACAGGAAGTGTAATACTAATAAAAATTGTGCTAAGCACCTTTAGAATAACCTTAAACTCTAGTACTTACCTTGCTTGGTTTCAGGATATACACAAAGGGGAAAAATGATAAGTCTATAGTATATATATATATATATATAATAATTATATATCATTTAAGGGCCCTTCTAGAATCAGATATTTCACCAGTTTATCCAACTGCTTGTTGACACATATGATCTTGTAATTATCTGGGCACTCCTAATTCCTTACAAAAGAGCAAAAGTTACAAGTGTAACGGGATAATATGAGCTTATTTTTATCATTTCGGGAATTCTCAACTGCATACAACCTGAATAATGTCAAAACCTATAGATAACAAGAATTAAACATACTTTTGACAAGTTGACAAAACGTTACTGACAGGATCAACCAATAACGTAGATAAAGTAGAGGAGATTGTTAGGAATGTGTGGGGAGGATTGACTTTACTACTTATAGGACTATTAGATGAATATTCTTGAAGGAGAAAGTAAGGGATTTATGGTTTAGAATATATTCTATGATTTCTAGTTTCTTTGAGAAAACAGCGCATAGATCTTCTGCGTCATAACAGTTACCAACACACAGATGTTAAAATGGATAGAGAGATGAAGTATGTGAATAAGGTTAGATTAAAACCTATGGCAATGAGGAACATTTCAGGTCATCTTGCATGTCTGTTGTTCATATGTCTACTACTAATGACGCCTTGGGACATAGGATTACTGACCAACTTTTCATATTTATCATATTCCTTGATCAGAAGTCAGAATTTTTTTGAAAATTCTCACCGAGATAAAACTGTTTATCACTAATGAACTCTTTAACTGAATATTGGTAGAATCCTTAATCATATTCTTCCTAGATGTACTTCTGGAGATCATACTGACTTCCTCTGATTTCAATCATTCCAAGCTAGGATTGGATTCTAAAGATGGAAATTTTTGCTAAGTGAATACAATGAAGACATTTGGAAAAGCATTTGAATTACATTACTTAACTTTTAAATAACTATAAATTTCTTCATGAATTTATGAATTAAATCTTCATTTGACATTAATGAGAAAAATGTTTTCGAAAGCAATTACATCAGATAGTTAAGAAAATCTCATCAGAGATGTTAGAATTGTTTATTTCTTTTATCAATTGATGATACTTGTAGGTTTAGTGAAATATTGGTATATCCATTCAAAGCGAAAAATGTCAATAATGATCAGAAAGCATGATAATTTATCTAGTAGTAGAATCAATGATATACTTTTTGACCTATTTTAGACTCGTTAGCTGGATATACCTACTTTTCAATGGATAATTTTGTTCCTACTTTGACCTTCATCACTTCAAATAATAGTTCTTTGTTGAGTTAGCTACTGAGTGACGAAAGCCATATATTTTATGATGGGCATAGTTTGAATATATAGCTTGTAGTGTTCTTCCCTTGTTGATTGAACCTAGTTGACCAGTCAATAAGCTTTATTGAATTATATTTCTATTCATATATTGTCTTTTCTTATCTTTATTGTTTTTTTTTTTATTGTGTATACAGAATGCTAAAGATTGCCGTAGTGAAAGTGAACTCTCGGATACATCAGATCAACAGATAAATTTTGATAAATTTCAAGAAAAGAATCATATTAAAAATTGTAATCATATCGATTATACTTTATCAGGGAAAATTACTACTGAAGTTGATAACAGTGAATTGAATCATATACTACATCAGCGTTTCAGTAATCATAATTTATCAAATAATGGATTAAAATGATATAAATTCTTTTTGTCTATTGTATACATTTGTATTTTGTAGTCAATATTGAGCTGGAAAGCAAAATAAATTAAGAAATAAAAGTATACTGTGAACAATCATTATATATGTGATAGTCTGCGAATAAAATCACCTAATTACTTGTTTATATGCGAATTAATGTTGTTATTATTCTCCTTATTGATTTCATTTTCATAATTATAGGTTATTTGTCTTACTGCTGTCAAAATATATCTACTATTCGTTTATTTGTATATCATGTATTTTTTAACAGTTAGGAAAATCAAGTATATGTTTATATCAGACAGATATCAATATTTCTATGCATTCTCCTTCACTTTATTATCTTAGACAACATCTTTCTTAGGATATGTTGTCTTTTCTATCTCACTTGTTATTTTTTCTTTGTTCTAGCTTTAATTGTTATAGTCATCTAAGGTTAAATAATGTAACTATTAAGATAATTAGAAAACGTATCATTTATGCAATTGATGTGATGAAACAAAGTGTTTTCTTCACTTTCATCAACAATAACTTATGTATGACTAATTTTGTCTTATTTAAAAGTTGTAGTTTTTAAGCTTGCTTTATAAAAAATCTAATAATTTTTTGTATGTTGTAGAAATGAAGTTTTTTTAAAACTGATTTTTTTTATCATTATAGTTTTTCTACATGAAACTGGTTTGTGAATATTCATAATTTTGTTCATTTCTATGTATTCAATGAATTTCTTGAATATAAATTACGAATAACTATGACTATCATTATTATCATTATTATTTTTGCTGTCTTTATTAAGACAGTAAGTCAGTCAATATTAATTAACATACGATCTGACATTGCTGTGTAGCTACCATGTTACTTAAAACCGATAGCTGTTACTTGAAAGTGATGATCCAGCTTGCATATCACAATTACCCTAGAAGATGTGCTGGTGGAAACATTTGTTTTCTGAGGTCCTATCATACCAGAAATGTTTATTGAATCGTAGTAGGACAAAAAGAGGAAGTGAGATGTTTTTCAAGGGTAACCAGTGATCCATGTTGATGATGCCTTCCCTGTAGGAAGGAGGCTTAAGAAAGGTCGACTGAAAAGAGCACTTTCTTTCCTACTCTGCAGTCTTCCACTTCTGGAGATTTACTTTCTTTAGCTGGATGAAAACCAATCAAAGTTAATCTTGAGACTTCCAAAAGCGTGGTATGTGACTGAGCTGGAGTGGATACCACTAGGACTCTGTGGTCAGTCACTACAATTACAGATTTAATTTTTCTTTTAGGTGCCTCATGAAGAAGTACCAGGGGATGGATGGTCCTCGTTTTTCTATCAGCACTCAGTTCCCCTTACCTTACGAATAACCTTCCTCGTATTCATTATTAAGTAGTCTTTTTTTATCCCAACATTCGAACTGAAAAAAGAATCCTTATTCATTAAAATATTTAAGGTGAATTTCATTAGTTAGTTTATTCAAGCATTCAACATGAGGATTATCTCATATATATATATATATATATATATATATATATATATGACAACTAAGCAGTATAATAAATCACCGAAGATACTTCCAAGATTTAAGCTGGTTTGGATCTTGCTTTCAGTCAAGACCTGGTGATCAAATTATTCTCTTAGCTTAGTTGGAAGAGCCTCATGGCGGTAATCTGGAGACCACCGGTTTGAGTTCTGCCACTGTTGAGACTTTTATTTCACCTTTAATCATCAGTTAGTATCAGTTATACCACGCTGCTAAATTACGGTAATCGCAGATAATTTCATTAGTAATATGATTAGTGCGTAATTTTGTAGTACTGGTTGCTATATTTTTCTTTCGCTGAAAAATGATCTGTCAGAAAAAAAATATATGTCTGTCAGTGACTGATGGGTCAAGTAAAGTTCATCATAAATTGTTTATGGGATTATAAGGTACTGGCTTAAGGGTCTTTACGTATCGATCGCGGAATAATCTGTGTAGTGATAGGATAGAACTGCCTTGCTTTTTTTTACCTGTTCTATCACTTCATAGATTATTTTGCAGTCCCCTTTTAATTACCTTGAATTGAACTTTCAGAACCTGAATCCTATTGTACTCTATACTTCTGTAATCGTCATCAACAAATGTTTTGACAGAATGATTTCTGTTTATGCTGTGGTGTTATATTTTTCTGTTCATGCTTTATTGACACAAGTTAATGTGTAGAGAATCAAATAACCTACTGTATAACTTTTCAATATACGTTTTGAAGTCAGCTAGAATAACACTGAATACATCTGTGTGCTGAAATTTATATCATCCTCCTTTTTAAGGCCTACTGCTAGCTCATCATTTAGTCATCGTCAGCTGTTAGTTTATTGGTTTACATCAATAATCTCACTAAAATAGACACCTGATTTATGAATGAAATGATGGTCATTGATAAACTAGGTTTTTCAACTTTTCGTCTGAAGTCAAAAGTTGGAAAAGATGTCAACTTGCGACACTAGTTAACTAAAGTTGGTCAAAGTATAATCCATTTGTCTTTAAACGAATGTTTCGGTGGCACCATGTGAGTCTTTAAATGTAAATTGTTGATGTATCACTGAAAAATCACCTGACAATTCATTATATATTTTTTCAACCTCAAAGTACCTTAGATGACCAACCTTTTCCTCCATACATACATAAGAAGGTTAATAACTGAGGCACCCTGAATGAGAACAGAATTTTTTTTAGTTACTCTTTGCTTTGATTGTTTTCTTTTTAACTGATATTAGCTCATAACTCATTGAAGATAAAAAAGGGGCAATTCTGTCCTTCCGATTTAGTACGATTTAACCTTGATATTTTCTTCAAATGATTAAATCTCTATTTTATTTGTATGCATTATATGAACCGTATTTTTTGTTCTTCTACACAATCTTTGCTTGATAAAATAGTTAAATGTATGTTTATTGTTTGAAGGTAAGAATACTTCTATTCACTGGGAGTATATTATATAATAGTTATCATTTATATTCCATGTGAATTTTTTGATTCTAATGAGAAAATGTCTACTTTTTCTCAATTCAGATGACCGAAGGTCATATGCTGATCATATTGCGAATATTTATACATCTTTGTATCCGTGTAATTAATAATTAACTATTGGTATTTTATGCGGAACCTGTGATTTTGCCTATCTTCTGATACTTTGATCGATATGGTGATAATTAAACTAAGGTCCGATTAATTCACTGAGTCACAGTTTTTATATCATTATCATTTCGAAAGAAGTAACAGATTTTAATAGATTTATTGTATGATTTGTTAATGAATACTTAGTTAGTAAATTAGGCACCATTAACTGCATAAACTGTTTAAATGTAATGAGACTTTTTTTTACAATCTGTGGTGCGATTCATTTCTCATAGTTACTGAGTTATTGTAACTCATAAAATTATTTCAACTGACTGAATCTTTAACCTTGTAATCGTTTGTCATTATCTTCATCAATTAACAGGCTTTTATAACTTCACTAGACCGAAAATTGTCTACCCTTTTTCTAAAACTTCATATGATATAATTCGAGTTTCTCTGATCATAAATTTATGCTTTTGGCCCTTTAAATTCGTTAGTAGAACTTATCACAGGTACCTGTAGGGATTAAAATCAATTCACGTAGAATTCTTAACAACGCTCAGAGAGAAACTTTGTTAGCAAAAAGATCGAGTAGAACCACGTCAGAAGAATAATCTAATCTATCAAGTAGTGATTGTGAGGTCAAGTATATAGGTGAAAGCAACCGATCAGGGGATCAGGGTCTGAAAGAATAGCAGAATACAAAAGTTTAGTGAGACATACAGTGATAGATCTTACTGAGATAAGTAATTTAGAACGAAACTTGGCTAACGTTCTGTATACACTAACCAACAATTACCTTATTGGCTGGGACAGGGTGACTGTTCTAAAATCCGATATAGCTAGGTGGAGGGAGAGATTGATTACAGAATCCTTTTTCATTAAATCAATATCTGACGCATGTAACTAGAATGATTCATCATATATTACGGATTCATGAAAAATTTTACTACCAGTTAAATAAACGAAGTGTTGGACCATATAAAGGAAGTTCGAAAGTCGTACTTTGATATGCATTTCAGCATTATATTCTGTTCGGAACGTCATCTACTAAATAATACTGCATCACCATGTGGTAAATCGAATAGAGAATCAAATTCAGGATTGTACTATACAGTAATGCTCAAGTTTTACTCTTACATTGACAGTGAGAGAAAAGTTTTCCTTTCGACTGTGGGATTCTCGAAAACTGTACGATCATGTTTGTATTCATTAAAGTTACTTGGAACCATTTAGATAATGCTAGAGTGCTCTGGAAAATTGTTACACAATAAGAAGAATAAGTTAGAGCGAATAGGGAAATGGAGAAGCTGAAACTTGAAAGGGATATTACCTTATAAGTATGGGAATGAATCAACTCAGCTAATAGGGCAAAATTAAAGTTACAAAAACGTAAAAAATATATGATGGCAAAATATAACTAGTTGGTCAAAAAGGTTCATTGAAAAGTGAATTAGCATTGCGGCCAAGATATAACTAATTAGTACACGTAACGTTTTTGAATGGGGAAATAGTTTTTAAGAATACTAGTTGCGAATAATCCATCTGTATAAGTAAGGTATTAGAAATCCTTTGGAATTGTAGGGAGACACTGTAAATGACTTTGATGGTACTTACAGGAGGCCCTAGATGTCGAAGGTATATGAGAAAATACAGCTACTAATAAACCTCCTCTCTTCTAGCTAACCAATCTGAATAATATTCTAAAATACATTCACGGACTTGACGCTGTATATCACCAATTTGAGATGCTTCATAGGAGCAAATAAATCAATAGATGCACATTGAGGTGACTGAAAGCCACATTCTCTTCCGAATGCTTTGATAAATTAATTGTCTACTGGAGAACGTAATTTTTGGACTAGTAGTATGAAATACTTATCTGAAGATCTTGAGAAGCGATTTTCGA